CATTCCCCTCGGTACCACTCAGTGCTTTCCCAAAGGACTGCACCAGGCTGCACTTCCCCCGGCCATGGATTCTGGAGCGGATGATTCTGGCTTCATATCCCAGGGCATCAGGCCACAGGAGACACCTTTGGCTGGTGGGTGAGGGTGGATGACAGTCTCTCCCCATAGCTAATAATTATACAGCAGGCATCCTTTGAGGACTCCCTGTGTGTCAGCCATTGGGCCAAACATGTCACCTGCTTTTGTCCTCACCATGATTCAAGGAGCTTTTCATATCCCCATTTTACAGATGAGGAGACCAAATCTCAGGTGAAGCTTACCTTGCCAAAGTCAGCACACCTGCCCTTGAACCCAGGTCTCCTGATTTCAAAGCCACTGGGCTCTTTTGCATCCCCAATTACAGTAGTCAGCAGCTTCTCCCCAGGGGAGGAGGGCTTTATCTCAGCCCTCCCTGTAGTCTGCTTCTATTGCCACAAACTGAAGAAAGACAAAATTGATGACCTTACAGGTCAGAGGCCAGAGGATCACAGAGGGTCTGGCTGAGCTCAGCTCGGGAGTTGACAAGGCTGTGCCCTCCCTGGAGGCTCTGGGGGATCCTGGCCTTGCCTGTCCCAGCCTGTAGAGGCCACACATTCCTTGGCTCCTGGCCCCTCCATCTGGCTGTCCAGCCATCTCATACCATGTCCTTCTGACACTCTCTCCTGCCTGCTTCTTCCATACAGAAGGACCCTGTTGTCACATGAGCCCACTCAGATAACCCAAGATGATCTCCTGACCTCAGCGTCCTCTTCTCCCCAGCCCCAATTCCCTCTGTGCTCTTCATCCCTCCCTACTGGACAGTGGGGCAAATTCTCTGTATATGTTCACTGACCCCGAAATTAGTGAATTAGGGACTTCAGGAATCAGGAGCAGGATGTGAACACCTGGGGGACATTGTGTACCTGCCACACCCCCCTGCGGTGTCTGGCTGTACTGACCTCATGGGCCTGATACGGGTGTAGCTTCAGCTGGCTCTGGGTGCTGGGCACAGGCCAGGCTCCTGCCTCTGGCCTTCACCACAGCTCTGTGACCTGGTCCCTGTCAGCTGACACACACTCTGGTCAGATCAGCTTTTGGAGTCTGGACTGTCGCACAGGAGGCCGTTTCCCTACCCTCTCCTTCCCCGAAGTCCTCCCCGTCCATCATCCCTCAGCCAGGATGCTGTGAGATGCTGCCTCTGGAGCATGCTTGTCACAGCGCCACCTACCTGTCACCTCGGTACATGGCACTGCCTGGATCACCTGCGTTGTTTTTCTCTGCCTCAGGGAGTCCTGCCAGCTCTTCCTCCACCTCCATCCCTTACCCATCCAGCTCCTCAGTCCCCTCCACTGCTCCAGCCTCGGCAGCCTCTTCCCAGAGTGGCCTCTGCCTCCTCAGCCCGGTCTCCCAGCCCCGCACAGTGGCCTCAGCTCTCCTCTACCTGGCACCCGCCCACCTCCACATTTTGCTGCCCTCATTCCCATCCCGCCCTGTGCCCAGCCCCTCAGCCTTCTCTTTGGTCTCTGATCGTCCAAGGCCACCCTCAGGTGGGGGAAGGAGCTACTCCTCCCCCTGCATGAGGCTTTGCCCCACGTCCCCTCCTCCAGAAGCCCTTGCTGACCCTCCAGCTAACATTGCCTACACCCCGTGGTGGCTCTCCACCTGTCACCTGGCTCTGTTCCGTCACGGCCCTCACTGCAGCTGGAAGTCCTTGGCATATGTCCTTGGAGACTGTGTTCCCCCAGAACAATAAGTCCATGAGGACGGGGGTAGGGTCTGTCTTGCTCTCTGCAGTGTCTGCAGACACAGCCCAGCGTCCAACACTTGGGATGCTCAGGAACGAGTGGATGACATCTCCCATGGGACTTCTCATCCCCACCTCCGCAGCCCCTCCCCAGAGCTCCCCCACCAGGATCTAGAGCCAGCAAAGGAGAAAGGACAGATGTCGTGTCTTGGGAGGGCATCAGGCTGGGTGAAAGCAGCATTATTGCCCAGCTCAGGCTGCGGGGCCTGTTTGATTGATGAACTTGACTCTAGAGTCTAGAGATTCTCTCCCACTCTCAATGGGTGGGGTACAGGCAAGACCCACAGCCAGAGAGAAATGTGCCCATCCCCCATTCAGCAAATCCCAGCCTCTGGCCCTCCTGGGCCTCTGGCTTGGGGGGATGCGACACAGCACTACTGCCCTCTGCAGAGTAGCCCTCCTCTGCTCCCAAGCTGGCTGGGACAGGTCTGCACTGGAAACCCAGCTCAGCTCTAACGGAAGGAGGGGCCTGAGGGGGAGAGGTGAGGAGTGGCTCTCGGGGGAGCCTTGGGGGAGCCTGTGCCAGCCTCCAGCCGCAGAGAAGAGGGAGAAGTTCCTGGAGAGAAGGGCGGCTGCAAGCTGGGCTCCACAGCAGGAGCCCTCGGGCTGGGCAAGAAGAAGGTCCTTTGCTTCCATCACCATTCTTGCCAAACAGAATGTCATTTTCTCTCTTGTCTTCAGTGGCAGCGATAAAGCTAAAAAGCAATATCGCTGAGTGAAGTGCCTGAGAGGGATTCTTCCCACGCCCCCGGGGAGCCCGGCAGGCTCTGCCAGAGGAGCTGGGTTCCCATGCTCCCCCCTCTAAACCCAGGAAGTATTGCAAACCAAACCCAGGCTGTGAAACCAGCTCTCCCCCAAGATGAGAGCCGGGATATGCCTTATGAAGCAGTGGCTGCTGGGAAGGGGCCCTCCCGGGGGCACCCACCCCCACCTTGGGCTCCTGTGAAAACCCTGGTCCTGCACACCCTTCGAGCGTGTGCACTTGCTTCCCCTGGGGATTGGGCTGGGTGGGGAATGGGGCTTCTAAAACCAAGCGTTAGGTTCTTACTACTTTTTCTATGCATCCGTTTAATTCTGGAGAAGCCTATCGGGTGACCTCAGGGTCTCAAACTCAGATGTCCACAGGGCCAGGAAGGAAAACACACAAGTGAGGTAGAGTGGGTGTCAGGAAGACGATGAGGAGGAGTGAAGACTGAGGTAGATCGGAGCCTGCTTGCCCTGCCACTCCTCAGTGGGGATCTGGGCCAAGCCTTGCCAGATAGTCTTGACATCGAGAGATGCCAAGAACAAGGATTTTTTTTATATGAAATTTCTCAATTTTCAGAAACTTCTCCAAGCCAAGCAAAATATTCATGAACCAAACTCAGCCCCAGAGCTGGTGATGAATAAGCAACTTCAATGTAGTAGTGCCGCCCTTAGCTTTGAGGGCCGAGAAGGAAGGAGTCCAGGCCAGCTGATATTCTGACCTCAGTTTCCCCGAAGGACCCTCAAGCTGTTGGCCTCATTGGCTGGAAATAGAGTTAGGCAGCCACCCCTTCTCTGAGCTCCTACCCTGCTAGGCACAGGGACTCAAGATGAATTAGGCCTTCTCCTTCCCCCAGGGAGGGAGCCAGGCTGGTACATGGATGATTCCAAAACTGGGTGGTGCCATGGAGACCAATTCACCATGGCAAAGGGCGGGGACAGGAGATTTCACTGGAGGAGCAGGCATGGCTGGCAGGCCACCAGGCCATCCTCGAAGTGGCATTTGCTGTCACATAAACAAACATGGCCCTGTCTTGGTTACTAAGTGTGTCTTGTCTCTCGCCTCTGACTTTCGGCAGGTGATACTGTTTCCCATCTATGGAAACAATACAGGAGTTACTGTGACATAAATACCAACAACAAGGGTGACAGTTGTTATCAGGTGCCCGCTCTGTGTGCACCAAGGGCCCATGTGTATATGGCTCACTTAATCCTCTGCACACACGACTGGGGTGGCTCACATGGTTGTGCCCTTTTCACAGATGAGGAAATGGAAACATCACGTTTGAGTCCCTTTCCCAGCTGAGTGGCTCCAGAAACCTGTTTTTGACCCATTCACCTGAGCTTTTCCTCCTCCGCATTTTGGATACTTGGGACTAGGTAATTCCCTGTTGTAGGGGCTCTCATGGTCCTACATTTAACAGCATCCCTGGCCTCTACCTATAGGACATCATTAGCATTCCCCAGTTTTGACAGTCAAAAATGCCTCCAGGCATTGGCACTTGTCCCCTGGGGACAGAGCGGGCCCTAGTTGAGAACCTCAGGTCTGTACTAAACTGCCTTTCCAAGCTAAATACCACCCCACACACACACACACACACACAAAAAAAAAAAAAAACTGGGTTAGTTTAAAATAAAGTGTTGAGTAAATAACAGCACAGGTTTGGCCCAACCATCCACTAGGAGGTCAGCTCCTAGGGTTGGGGACCACCTCTGATCCTGTGCACTGCTGCTGGGTGTCAGGGTTCCTAAGCCCTAAGGGACACAGTGTCACTCTACAATTGAACTCAGGAGCACTGGAACACTGAGCCACATCCCCAGCCTTATTTTGCATTTTATTTAGAGACAGGGTCTCACTGAGTTACTTAGCACTTCACTTTCACTGAGGCTGGCTTTGAACTCGAGATCTTCCTGCCTCAGCCTCCCCAGCCGCTGGGATTCCAGGCGTGCACTCTGTACCTTTCTAAGGCATTCATGAGATGGATATGGAAAAACTGTAGTCAGGAGATGCTGAGTGATAATGTTGCTATTTTCACTATTAAGTGAACATCTTAATAACAAAGTATCGTCAGCTGGGCGCTGGAGCTACAAGCATTTATTTGTCACAGTTCTGGAGGCTGGAAGTCCAAGAAGGAGGTGCCAGCAAAGGGGATTCTGGTGAGGACCCTCTTCCGAGTTGCAGACTGACTTCTTACTGTGTCCTTAAGAGGTGAGACAGCACTCTGGTGTCTCCCCTGGGAAGGACATCCTAGGACCCCACTCCCAGGTCCTCATCAGCCCTGGTACCTCCCAGAGTTCCCGTCCTCCGCCCATCCCACTGCCCTTAGTGCTTCTGCCTGTGCTCAGGGCTGGGCTTTCAGTCCCGCCCCCTCCATGAAGCGGGGCTCAGACGCACTGGGGGTCACCAAGGGTCTCTCCTCCCTTCTCCCCCCAGGCCCTAGAGGGATGTGAAGGCCCAAAATGACCCTGCTCCCGGGAGACAATTCTGATTACGACTACAGCGCCCTGAGCTGCACCTCGGACGCCTCCTTCCACCCGGCCTTCTTCCCGCAGAGCCAGTCCCTCAAGGGCGTGTTCTACCGGCGCGCCCAGCGGCTGCGGCCGCAGGATGGCCCCTGCCCGGGCAGCCCCGCGGGGGACCGCCGCCGCCGGATCATCATCAACGTGGGCGGCATCAAGTACTCGCTGCCCTGGACCACGCTGGACGAGTTCCCGCTGACGCGGCTGGGCCAGCTCAAGGCCTGCACCAACTTCGACGACATCCTCAACGTGTGCGACGACTACGACGTGACCTGCAACGAGTTCTTCTTCGACCGTAACCCGGGGGCCTTCGGCACCATCCTCACCTTCCTGCGGGCGGGCAAGCTGCGGCTGCTGCGGGAGATGTGCGCGCTCTCCTTCCAGGAGGAGCTGCTGTACTGGGGCATCGCCGAGGACCACCTCGACGGCTGCTGCCGCCGCCGCTACCTGCAGAAGATCGAGGAGTTCGCCGAGATGGTGGAGCAGGAGGACGAGGAGGACCCGCTGGACAGCGAGGGCCGCGACAGCGAGGGCCCCGCCAGGGCCGAGGGCCGCCTGGGCCGCTGCATGCGGAGACTGCGCGACATGGTGGAGAGGCCCCACTCGGGGCTGCCCGGCAAGGTGTTCGCCTGCCTGTCGGTGCTGTTTGTCACCGTCACCGCGGTCAACCTCTCCGTCAGCACCTTGCCCAGCCTGAGGGAGGAGGAGGAGCAGGTAAGACTGGCCAGGGCGAGGGAGGGGGTGGAGGACTGGAGGCAGAGCTGTGTCCTGGGCCACTCTGCCCCCTGCAGTCCACTGTCCCTCCTCCCAGCATCCCCAGTCCCTCCTGACATCCTGCCACTTGCACGGTGTGTGTGTGCGTGGAGCTGCTTGCCCTCCCTGTTAATACCAGCCAGGGCCAGCGGCCATGACTACCCTGGTCCCTGCTGTGTCACCCCCACCACCCCACCCCCCCCCCCCCCCGCCATCCCACAGTGTCTAGAACCCTGTGCAGCACAGATGAGGAACCGGCCACTGTGGTTGAATGTCTGAGTGAGCAAATCCACAGGTGTCGTGGTGACGTCCCTGCCAAGCACATCATGTGTTTCATCAAAACTCACCTCACCAACTGAGTCCTTTCTCAGCCTTCCTAATTCCTTGGCATAGCAGTAGCCCAGACACATTTTCTGGGTCTTAAAAATAATTTTTATTGTTAGGCATATGTGTCTATGCATGTCCCCAGATGGTGAGGGTGTCTTTGTGTTAAATAGGAGAATGCGTGTATTTACATGACATCACACCACGGTGCGTGCCATTCTAAGGCTCCCAGAGACAGAGCAGCACAGGAGCCGCAGTGGGACGGTGGCTCCGCCTACATCTGATCTTCTCTGCAGATCCTCCAGTAACCCTGTGGGGGAAGTGTCCTCACTCCCACTTGGCAGAGGAGGACACGGAGGCAGGCCCAGCAGGCTGCCAAGCCCAGGTTGATTGAGCCACAGTCTGTGTTCTTACATGTGCAACCACACGGCAGCCTGGGACCCAGGAGAACCCCAGAGAAGCTGTGATTGGCCTGCAAGATTTCTGAACAATTTCACTCGGCAGCCACCATTCAAAAGTAACATGTTTTCCAAATAACGATGTGCACTCTTAACTTCTAAAAATTATAAGGTCAGGGGTTGGGAACATGGCTCAGTGGTAGTGCACTTGTCTAGCCTGTGCAAGGCCCTGGGTCTGACCCTTAGCACCGCAAAATACAATGGAAATGGGAAGGTCAGGCGCCCTGGCCTGGGGTTCATTAGGGCAGCTCTTGGTGGAGTTCCCAGGGGACGTCCTCTCCAGTCAGGCTCCTTGTGCCTGGGACCCGTGGGCCTTTGACTTGTCATCCCTTCCCTATACGTGGAGGTTCTGAGACCAGAAGGTCTCAGACAGGCACAAAATGTATAGGTATTTGAGAAATAGGTCTGATGGTGTGAATTGAACATAAATATGCCAGCTGGCATTTACCGAGCGCTGACTGCATACCCTGCATGTGCTAAGTGTCTTACATGCAGTCTCTAACAACATCAGAAGTTCTCTCCCTGAGAAGATTTTCCCACATACAGAGACTGTGGAGAAAGTAGCAATAGCTGTTGCGTTTACAACACATGGAAGGTTGTTGCACTTTGAAGTTTTTCAAATACACTTGAAAATATATGTATTTTTCAATATATTGAATTTTTAAAGGGTATTAAGAAAATAGCATCATACCAAAAAATTACCTTTTCTTTTTGTATTCCTGTACTGCGGATTGAACTCAGGGTGCTCCAATACTGAGCTATATCTCCAAGCCTTTTTTTATTTTGAGACAGTCTTGTTACATTGCTGAGCCTTGCAATCCTTCTGCCTCAACCTCATGAGTAACTAGGATTACAGGCTCGTGCCACCAGGCCCAGCCAAAATTAAGTTTTTTCTTTCTTTCAAAATTAACTTTTGATAAGCATAGGGAGCAGGGACAGAAAAGACAGTGCTAGAGCCAGAAGGCCTGAATTTGAGTCCCATTTTTACACTCTAGCTGTGCAAGTGTAGGCAGGTTACTAGACCTCTCTGTGCCTCAGTTTCTTCACCTGTCCACGGGGGGTATGAATAGGCCTACCTGGTAGTGTTGCCAGGACTCCGTGAGCGAGCCTACGTGGAGTGATTGGAATGGTGCCTGGTGCACAAGTGAGCCAGAGGTAGTGAATAAGGATTTACACACACCTGCCAGAGGCAGGGGGCTCACCACGAGAAACCTATCCCTGTTGGAACCCAGTTCCAACAACTTTGATACCAGTTTTAACAGGAAAATAGAAATAAAGCCACTGCTTTATTCAACTTCTGATATTGAATTTTTAAAAATAATTTCTGGCTTTTTTTTTTCATGATTCAGAGAAAATGCTGTTCTCCAATTTCATTTCGGGGGCCCTCTGTATGCAGGCTCTGCAGGGAGGGTAGGGTGGCCAGCACAAGGCCTCCCACTAACCCCCGTGACCCATAAGTGTGAGGCACTTGCTAGGGGCTCTGTGCTGGGGCTATCAGAGGGGGTGTGCTCCAGGAAGGCCTCAGAGGACCGAGACCTGAAGGCCAAATATGGCTCCCGTCTCCAGGCAGAGAAAACTAACAGCCAGACTTGGAGACCCTGGCATGGCCAAGGACCCACACAGAGTCACTGGACAGAGACACTCACACCTTTCCTCTCTGCCAAAGGCCCCTTTGCAGAAGGAGCCCAGTCTTCCGAGGACGGTCTGCTGTCCAGTTATATTGCAGACCGGGGCCTAAGCTGATGGCCTTTGTGTTACTATGGCCCATGAAGTAGTTTTCTGTATTGTGCTGTCACCACACTGAAGTCAGCAACAGCCATCCCCAGATGTCACATAAAACTGCAGATTCCCAGCTTCTCTTGAGAGCTTCAGGGAGGCAGCCTGAGCCTGACCCCCCTGGGGAAGAGAAAGGGGCTCTGCAGTGGGCCCAGCCCACTTCCTGCGCCTGCCTGGGCCCTGATGGCTGAGGGATTCCACCACTGTCTGAACTCCAGCCCAAGCTTCTTCTGTTCTTTCCTGTAATCACCATGTATTAAACACCTGCTGTATGCTGACCTGTCTAGGCACTGGGTCCAGGCAGTGAGCAGCGTGTATAAATGGCCCTGCCCAGTGGGGTGGGGGGGAGTGGGGGGGGGGGGGGGGGGGGGGGGGGGGGGGGGGGGGGAGGGGGGGGGGGGGAGAGGGGGGGGGGGGGGGGGGGGGGGTATGCTGGCAGGCAAGACACATATAAATAAGCAACTTAGAAAGCCTATGAGAAGGTTTTGAGCACTGTCAACCAAAGGGACAGAGTGAGGGGACTGGATGCAGGAAAAGGGGAGCTGCCTAGACGGGATCACAGAAGGTCTCCAGAGGAGGTGACAGCTGGGACACAGCCTGGAGGAGAGAGAGCAGGTGTTCTGGGAAGGAGGAAAGAAGTCACAGGCCAGCTGGAGGGGGGACCCAGGTGTTAGGGGAGCCAGCAGGGGGCCTGGGAGGTGCAGCAGGTGTGGGGAGGGAGGACAGAGCGGGGAGTCAGGAGGAGATGGAGAGGCAGCCGTGGGCTCCGCGAGGACTCTCGCTGTTCCTCTGAGCCATGAAGGTGCCCTGCAGAGGAGGGACAGGGACCCAACTCATGTTCTCAGGCGCCCCCTGGGTACCTGCAGGGATGGGAGAGCCCAGGGAGGAGTGACTGCAGCTGTCCCGGTGAGGGAGGGCGGAGGCTGGGCCATAAGGCTGTGGACAGAGAGCAGCCGTCTGCTTCTGACACTGCTTTATCTCAAGAGCCAAAGAGATTTCCAAAGACACAAAGAGTCGAGGCACCAAGCGGTAAGGGACAAGAGAGACCGCTGGCAGAGAGCCAGGGGTCAGGGCTGAGGAGAGAGAGGCCTGGGTAGGAACAGAGCTAGAGAGGCCCAGGCCAGAGCACGCAGAGAAGCAGGTGGGTGCCCACCAAGTGCAGGGCAGAGCTCCGGCCCTCCCCGGCGGGGGCTGACCCCTGGCTCTCCCCAGGGCCAGTGCTCCCAGATGTGCCGCAACGTCTTCATCGTGGAGTCGGTGTGCGTGGGCTGGTTCTCCCTCGAGTTCCTCTTGCGGTTCATCCAGGCGCCCAGCAAGTTCGCCTTCCTGCGCAGCCCGCTGACACTCATCGACCTGGTGGCCATCCTGCCCTACTACGTCACGCTGCTGGTGGACGGCGCGGCCTCGGGCCGCCGCAAGCCGGGCGCCAGCAACAGCTACCTGGACAAGGTGGGGCTGGTGCTGCGCGTGCTGCGGGCGCTGCGCATCCTGTACGTGATGCGCCTGGCGCGCCACTCGCTGGGGCTGCAGACGCTGGGGCTCACGGCCCGCCGCTGCACCCGCGAGTTCGGGCTGCTGCTGCTCTTCCTGTGCGTGGCCATCGCCCTCTTCGCCCCGCTCCTCTATGTCATCGAGAACGAGATGGCCGACAGCCCCGAGTTCACCAGCATCCCCGCCTGCTACTGGTGGGCGGTCATCACCATGACGACTGTGGGCTACGGAGACATGGTGCCCAGGAGCACCCCCGGCCAGGTGGTGGCGCTGAGCAGCATCCTCAGCGGCATCCTGCTCATGGCCTTCCCGGTGACGTCCATCTTCCACACCTTCTCCCGCTCCTACCTGGAGCTCAAGCAGGAGCAGGAGAGGGTGATGTTCCGCAGGGCCCAGTTCCTCATCAAGACCAAGTCGCAGCTGAGCGGCATGTCCCAGGACAGTGACATCTTGTTCGGAAGTGCCTCCTCGGACACCAGAGACAACAACTGAGCCCAGAGGACACCCTGCCCTGCCTGCCATCGCACCTCCGCACTCCAGCCATCCACCGCAGAAGCCTCCAGAGAGACATCAGTATGGCCCGGACCCGCCCCAAGAAGGACATCCCCCACGTGGCAGAGGGTCCCTGCCCTCTGCTCCACAGTGAGAGGGAAGCTGCTCACGCCCCAGCGTCCAGCCACGGCTGCCCCAGTCTGTTCCCCTGCCGGGAGGCGGCTCTTCCTGCCCACCATGTAAATAACGCCCAGCAAAACCCGCTTCCAAGGTGCCTGGAAGAGAGGACAAGCAACCGCAGCACGTCTGTCCTCGGTGCGGAGCGTGCCCGGGGACAGGGAACCGGTGACAGAAAGGAACGCCTCCCCCCAGGCTCCCCTTGAAAGAGGGAGCAAAGCCCACAGGGGCACCGGAAGTAAAAGGGCCTTTGGCCGGGGTGGCTCAGCTGTGGGGTTGGAGGAGACAAGGGCCCCTGGGGACACGGTGGTCCCGGCACTGCCCTCTGCTTCTCCTGACCCAGGCTGGTCCTTTTTGCCCTTTTCCCTCCTTCCCCCTCCTCTCTTTTCCCCTTGAGGCCTGTTTCTCAAACAGAGTCCCCGAGGCACTCCTAGCAGTTGACAGGACACACAGGGGCCCGTTGGCCCTGCTGACCCCAGAGGGGAAGTGGCTTCATTCCCTCTCTAACCCGTAGTGTGGTCTTTTCACTCCTCGTGTGTGTTAGTATCATGAAAAATAAATGCCTGACGCCACCTGGATCCTCACAAACATGAGGTGGGTGGGTGTTTTGGGCTGGTGGCCCACGGCTCTGGGCAGCCTGAGAAGCACACTGAAGCCCCCAAAGGCCCTCGTGTGGCCCCAGAGCCCTCCAGAGCACCCGCCTGAACCAGACGGCTCCCTGAGCTCAGGTTGTGTAGATGACGCACACAGAGAGGGCGCGAGGCCCGCCTAGAAGGTTCCCCGCAGCTCCAGGACCCGAGCCGTGTCGCCTCATGGGCATCTGGAAGGAGCTTCACGCCCACGTCACACTCCCAAACCCCCCCTCGCGGGTACCGCAGCATCACCTTCTTCTCCATCCTACACGCCAGAGGCCCTGCCACCGTCCCCACCCCAGCCCGGCAGCAGGAAGCACACTTGGGAAACGAGCCTGGTGGTGAGGCCGCCCTGCCCACGCCCCGGGCGACTGTCCATTGCACAAGGATAAAGCCAGCGCCCTGGGCCCCTGGCCCTGTCCTCTCGGGATCCTCCCCGACCTCCTCCTGCGTGGCTCTTTCCACCGGCCTCTCGCGTCTGCTCTTCAGACACACCCAGCCGTCCCCTCGGCCCTCAACCTGCAGGCCCCGCTGACAGGAGCGCCCTTCCTGCCACCTCCCAGGGAGGCTTCCCTGACCCGACTGTCCCCAGAACCCAGGCCAGCGCCCCCCACTCCCCTGGTCCTGCTACATGGTCTGGCTCAGCACGAGCTGGTCACTGCCAACGGGCAGGGACTCGGCAACATGGCTCGGCCTGGTCCTGGCGCCTCTGCAGGCGGGGGCTGGCCGGGGCTCGTACACATTTGTCGTAACAGTGAAGGGAACAGAGGAGACGCCCAAAGCCCGGAGGGGCACTTGGTTCCAGCACTTGTTTTTAATGTTGGAGGTTGGCTCCTCGGAGCGTCTCTCTCCATGCCTTTCCCAGTCTCTCCTCTGCTCCCTCTCTCTCTCCCTCTCTCTCTCCCTCCCTCCCTCCCTCCCTCCCACCCCCCAGAGCCCCACTATCTCAGCACGGTGCCCCCGTGGTGAGGCAGAGTGGAAATACCATCCGAGTCACGAGAGCCTCGTTAATGGCTCTCCTGACACCTGCTTCCAGTGACTCACGTCGCAAAGTAAGTTTTTTAACTAATTAGCTCTACCTTCCCAGGCCCGGGGGATGTCACCATGATCAGCCGCTGCCATCCCCAGGATAGCACCTCAGATTTATGGGATGACCTTTTTCCCCCTTGAATGTACCAGTGAGGTACAGAGGCCATTGGAAATGCCAAGCAGATGGTATCAGAGGGAGCCCTGCGCCAGCAGCCAGGAGGACACGCGCATGGGTGCAGGAGGGAGCCCTAAAGGGAGCAATGCTGGGAGGGAGGGCTCATGTCCCCCAAGAGCCCAGAGCTGGGGGTTTGGAGAAGAGACTGGGGTCACAGTGGTCAGGATTTCTGACCTCATCTTGTAGATTCTGCTCTGTCCTCATGACCAAGGCCAAGGTGTGCATCAGCGGCCATTCCAGACCTCAGCTCGGGCAGACGGGCCCTCAGCCCCAACCCTCCCGTGAAGTGGGCTCCTGGGCCCTGGACCTTAATTAGGAGAAAGCGAACTCAGGAAGCCTAGCCCGCTGCTTCGGGTTCAGTTGAGAAGCTTCAAGCTTTCCTGCCCGTTTCTAGCAGGGGACCATGTTTCCTGGAGAAGCTGTGCACAGCCCTGTTGTAGGTCAGTCTGAAGCAGAGAAGGGCGGGGTTCGGGGTTCCCTCCCCTCTCCCGGGGCCTCCCCGTGACCGGGGCTCAGACAAGGAACGCTCTGGGCTCCGCGCAGAGATCTCTGCTCTGGGCAGAGCGGCACCCCAGGCGCCATTTTCTGGGTCATGTGGTCATCTCTGATCTGTGACCTAGCTGGGCCTTCTCTAGACCCGCGCTGGGCCACCAGGAAGGCTGGTGACAGTGCAGAGTCCCAGGCTCCCTCTGACCAGGACCAGGACCAGGGTGGGGCCAGCCGGGCACTTGCCTCTGGCACAGAATTTAAGGGGCGGCCAGAAAACTCAGCCATCAGGATGAGCGGTATTTTAATGCACTATCCCCAAGGATTCAAACAGTGTCCTGGATCACAATGAATAAAGTACGAGATTCTAAATGAAAACAGGGTCTGTCTGCGTCTTTCCTGCCTCGGCCTCACCTGCCTCACTCCGTCCGGCTACCCCCCCCCAACCATCGTGCGTCCTAGCAAGACGGCTCTGCTCGAGGAGGACAGGTCTCCAAGGAAGCGTGGGTGCCGCTGACCACCTAACCCCGCGGCCACTGCAGGCCCATGGCCACCCCACCAAGGGCATCGGCATGGGCCCAGCACCCCTCCTGCTGCAGCGAGCCTCTGGGGCTAGGCCCCTGTCTGCGGGGACCAAACAGTGATGGGGAGAGAGAAAGAGAGAGAGAGAGAGAGAGAGAGAGAGCGCACGTGGTTGAAGGGAACAATCTGTGATGGGCACTCGGGTGACCTGGCGGAGAGTGACCAGGGCCACAGGAGGTGGAGGAGAGCCTCCTGAGCCGGTGGGGTCAGGGAAGGACTTGCCCAGAGGTGACATTTAACGGGGACCTGGAGGAGGGGGAGGGGTGCAATGCAGCAGCGGGGACAGCAGAGCCAAGAGCCGCATCCCAGCAGCACTGGAGGGGGCCAGGGCCAGAGAATCGTCCCCTGCTGGGACCCCTACCGGGGATGGAGCCAGGCCCTGAGGTCGCAGCAGGGGCAAAGCAAACAACCCAAAAGCAGAGCTGGCCTCACCACTGCCCTACAGCTGCTGGCAATTTGTGAAAAAAGGAATAAAATGTTCCCACACGGGCAGGTGACAGGGGACGCAGAGATCATTTTTACTCACTTTACTGTTTGCTGAAATGGCCTCACGTCTGTTTTCCCCCTGAGAAGAGACACAGTCTTCCTCCCGACATGGTCACCTTGCCTCGCTGGCCTCCCTCCCCTCTCCCCGACCGGCCTTGTTGGTGGGATGTGACTGTGGCTGGCCCCCAGGTCTGCCCGTCCTCTCCCTCGGGTCATGGCAGGAGGTCCTCCCCAGCACTGCCCCCCCCCCGCAGCCTGTTCACCCCGCCGCCCGCCGAGGGACCAGTCTCCAGAACAGCAACGGTCTGTGTCCACTCTATTCTGAAGCCTGGAGAGGGGGACCTTGGTGACCCTACAGGGACTGTCCTCCCAGGGCACAGGAAACGACTCACCTGGAGTGTGCCTGTCACATGCCAACCCCCCATCCAGAGCCACATCCCACCACCTCCTGTATCACCCATGAAGCCACCGTCCAGCTGCCCTGGTCATCCCAGGGCCAGGTACCAAGAAGCTAGAGACCATCCCTGTGCCCAGGCCCCCGAGATTGTCCAGGCCAGCGGGTCCTCGGCCTGGTGGCCCCCTCGCCACGCCCTCCACAGTGAAGGCTCCTAGCCGGGTCCCCAGCCCCTCCCCTCTGCTAACTGACCCTGGTGTCTCCCTGTGTGTCCCCTCCCTCTTGGGAACTCGGTGGCTAGCTGCCCGCTCCCTGGAGCTCGTCTCCTGACCTGCTGGGCTTGCCGTCCTTGAAGAGCAGCTCAACCTGTCTTCACCCTTCTCTGAAACCCCTGCTGCCCAGTGACACATGATCTCTGTCCCCACTCAGGGTCAGCTTCATGTGGGCAGGGACCCTCCCAGCAGTGCCCCACCACAGTGCCAGCGCAGCACCATGCACGTAGTAGATGCTCAGTGAAAATCTGCTGGACAAATGGGTCAGTGAGTCCCTCACTTCTGTACCAAGCCCTGCAACACACACTCACACTCACACTCACACACACACATTCACACACACACACTCACACACTCACATTCACACTCACACTCACACACACTCACATTCACACACACACTCACACACACACATTCACACACACACATTCACACACACTCACACACACTCACACACACTCACACACTCACACACACACTCACACACTCACATTCACACTCACACTCACACACACACTCACACACACACTCACACTCACACACACTCACATTCACACACACACTCACACACACACATTCACACACACACTCACATTCACACACACACACACACACACACACACCATATTGACACCACAGTTGTGCTGCGCAGCCAGCCCCCACCCCAAGTCACCCAATAATTTCTGCTTGGAAACAACCTCCATCGTGAGCGGTTGGCCTCGTCCACAGCTTGCCATTCCAAGTTGAAGGGCTGGAAGGGTGCTGTGGAGCGGCGCTTGCAGCCGTAAAATAGCCCGAAGCTTTGGGTTTGGGTCTTTTTTTCCATTTTCTTTTCAGAAAAGTAC